TCCACCACCATGTGTATGTTTCTTTCACAGTTCCGGAACTTACCCACCACCAAGTGTATGTTTCTTTCACAGTTCCAGAACTTACCCACCATCAAGTGTATGTTTCTTTCACAGTTCCAGAACTTACCCACCACTAAGTGTATGTTTCTTTCACAGTTCCAGAACTTACCCATCACCACGTGTATGTTTCTTTCACAGTTCCAGAACTTACCCACCACCACGTGTATGTTTCTTTCACGGTTCCAAAACTTACTCACACCAAGTGTATGTTTCTTTCACAGTTCCAGAACTTACTCACACCAAGTGTATGTTTCTTTCACAGTTCCAGAACTTACCCATCACCACGTGTATGTTTCTTTCACAGTTCCAGAACTTACCCACCACCAAGTGTATGTTTCTTTCACAGTTCCAGAACTTACCCACCACTAAGTGTATGTTTCTTTCACAGTTCCAAAACTTACCCACCACCAAGTGTATGTTTCTTTCACAGTTCCAGAACTTACCCACCACTAAGTGTATGTTTCTTTCACAGTTCCGGAACTTACCCACCACCAAGTGTATGTTTCTTTCACAGTTCCAGAACTTATCCATCACCACGTGTATGTTTCTTTCATAGTTCCAAAACTTACCCACCACTAAGTTTATGTTTCTTTCACAGTTCCAGAGTTTACTCATACCAAGTGTATTTTCAGATGCTAAAATGATGGCAGAAGGAACTTGAATCGGAACCCAAACATTTCTACTCTGGTGGATGTCACCATGTGCTACAGTAGTTGCTGCAATTCCCAAGAAGTAAGTTTGGAATCTCGATGTAAACACAGAATTTTGTTATCTCTTTTAATCCTGTCGATTTTATGCTTATTTGTTTGCTTCTCGATCCATCATTAACTAGTTACTTGAAATTTCGATATAAAAAAATGTATTTGTTTTTATTATCCCAACTAAACTTGATTTGTTTTATTGATATCGGTTTTAATTTTGTTTTCTCTGCTTAAAAAAAAATTCCTACTATTAAGAAATTACATTTAAATACATAATAGTTTGAAAATCTGATGGATCTATCTATCTCAAAGTTAACAACAACCAAAAGTAAATGGTTATATACAGTGTGACTAATGCATTTCAGTCGGTTGAGAAAAGACGGTTGACATGAGTAGCTATTGTCATTTTAACTTCATATATATATATATAAAATCTGTAAGTTCATGTATAATTTTACAGTGTTTCAAAAATGCAATACTAATAGCTGAGCTTTAAAGACGGTTGTACTTGTTTTCCCGACATTAGCTAGTCGACATGAACAGTTCCATGTTTTTCATATTCATAAGATGCTTTTTTTATATATAGATAGAAACATAAATGAAACCAATTTTGAAGAAATAATATTTATTTCTGTGAAATAAATTGTTGCATTTGAAGCACGTTTATTTACAACTATTGCGTCAAAAAAGGCTTAAAAAACGTAAAATGGGATTAAAAGTCAACATTTTATTATTGGGTGCATGTTGACATTTGATTATTGGGCGCATTAATTTTGAAAACAGAAGGTATAATGTATGCAGTTTAAAAAAAAAAGATGACCCAATTAAACTATATATTTAACTTTTTAATCTTTATAAGTTTACTAAGAGGTATTGGTAGATTATTATAATGCTCAGATTTGGTAAATAACTGAAAAGATAGAGGGCTCTCCTTTCTTTTTTATTTTGTAAATCCATTTTGGTTAGTTGGTGGACGAGTAGGCAAAAAGCTTATTTGATATATGCAATATAATTTAAAGAATCTGTGGTTCAACTGTTATTAAATATATAACCAAACAAGAAATTGAGCTGAACGTGGTATAACTATTGGCAGGCTTTTCTGGGGATCTGCAGGTCTATGGTTTGCGTTCCGTTACTGAAAAATCGACCACGATGCTTAGGGTCGTAGGTGAGTTATAAGAGTGACGGTCAAATCCCATTATTTGATCAGAGTAGCTCAAGAGTTGACGGTGGATGCTGTTTGACTTGCTGCCTTTCCTCTAGTCTATCAGTTCAAAATTGGAGACGGCTAACGCAGATAGCACTTCTATAGCTTTGCGCCCCCCAGTGGCAAAACGGTTATATCTGCGGACTTACAACGCTAGAAACCGGGTTTCGATACCCGTGGTGGGCAGAGGACAGATAGCCTATTGTGTAGCTTTGTGCTTAATTACAAACAAACGGAAATAATTTTGCCCCCCCCCCCCCCCAGTGGCACAGCGGTATGTCTGCGGACTTACAACGCTAGAATCCGGGTTTCGATACCCGTGGTGGGCAGAGCACAGATAGCCTATTGTGAATTATATGGATAGAAAGATAAACAGGTTCTAATTAACAGTAAAATCACATCTCGACAGTAAGTTCAATTTCTGTAGGCTGAAAATCCTTTAATACATCATGCCAAACATTTTGTCAGGCACTTCATTATTTTTCCTATAAGATATTCTGTTCTATAACAAAGTGTACGGACAAATAAACATACAGAGAACTAGAAACGGACTTCTTTTTTACTCAAATATACTCCTGCTACATAACTGTTTTGTTAGGCGATTGGAATTCAGAGTAGAGAAACCGTTAGCAAACATTGTACTCAATAGAGAGATGAGACATTTTGGCAAGACGGGGAGCTCTATTTGTCTGTGTATCTTTTCTATCACTACAGGTGTGTTCAGTATGGCCTTCGCTTCGATTTCTTCAAAGGTGCCAGGTTAGTAACATTTCAACCCGCATTCTTTTGTGATATAAGGTAGCGGGTTCGTGTAACTTAGTTTCGGTTTCGGTGCTTCCGGTCAAGTACCTCAAAAAAGTTGATACTCGCAAGATTCGTTAAGTGTTTATCTAAATTTCCATTATTTTTGTAGCTCTAAAGTGAATTTTGCCTGATTTAACTGATGTATCTGACTAGATTATGCAACCAAAGCAACAACCTTACGAGAATTTTTTTGTTTACAACCAAAACATGATTTCATATACCTTGTCTCCAGTTGAGTAAAGTATATTCTATGGTTTTCTACTTTAAGTAAATCATATACATTAAACCACTGGTGAGATATGCTTGGCCTAGTAGTTAATATTTTGGAGTGTAGATCTGAAGGTCCAGGAAATGTGTGTCCCGTTGCCACACAAAAAAACAACAACAAAAAAAAACTCTTGAGTTAGACTGTTAATAGAGGTTGAAAAATCTGTAAAAATAAAGGGTATTATTATGATTTGATGTTTAAGTTAAGCCTCTCTGAGAATTAAATACATCACCCATTCATTTTCACATCAATATTCATTGTGTATCAACATTATTCACTGACACATCGTCATAAAAGAAAAACGTTTAAAAAAGGGGGGGGGAAGTGATGAACGCAACAGTGCCGAAAAAACAACTTTGCATTTTGATAACTTTCATATCAAACTATCGATTCCACATTGTCACCCATTTGCTGTTAATGCGACTTGCGTGCCACCTGGAGTCGAGACACTCGATGCTGTTAGTGATAATACTAAACGTTTCGGTGCCCTTGCTTTTTATTTTTTACTTTTTTTTCAGTCTTTTCTTTTTGCATAAATAATTTTGGTATATCCTTTACATTCGATTAAATGTTAGCCTTTAAGCAATTGTGTAAAAAATCGATTAAATGTTAGCCTTTAAACAAATGTGTAAAAAATCGATTAAATGTTAGCCTTTAATAACATGTGTAAAAAATCGATTAAATGTTAGCATTTAAACAAATGTGTAAAAAAATCGATTAAATGTTAGCCTTTAAACAAATGTGTAAAAAAATCGATTAAATGTTAGCCTTAAACAAATGTGTAAAAAAATCGATTAAATGTTAGCCTTTAAAGAAACGTGTAAAAAATCGATTAAATGTTAGCCTTTAAACAAATGTGCAAAAAATCGATTAAATGTTAGCATTCAAACAAATGTGTAAAAAAAAATCGATTAAATGTTAGCATTTAAACAAATGTGTAAAACAAATCGATAAGCTACACTAACATGGTTATTTTTGTTTTATTGTAAATTTCAACGATGCTACTGGAAGAAATAAGAAATTTCAATTCAGTAACGTACTACATTTAGTTGCTTTTTTTTTTCAAAAAATGATAATGAAGTTTTTAATGCCTCCCCATCCTTATTGAGAAGCTGATCGGGGCATATTGGTTTGTCCCTGTCCCTCTTAACCTTGTGGATAGGATATCTCAAGATTGGATGGATGAATTTTGAAATACAATTATTAAATACAAATTTCTAGACTTATTTAACTGTTAAAGGTCGTGAGTTAAAATCTAGGTCAAAGTGGGAATTGGTGTTTTATAAATACAATTTGCGCTTGTTTTGTTTTGTTTATAGCTGTTGTTGTTTTTCTCACTGTAATAAGAGTGGGCTGAATCCATGCAAGTTTACTTACTCATGCCGAGCAGATTGGTCCATTCCAATGCCATGCTGACAGCCAATACATGAAATAGACTTGCTAAAAAATCAAAAATATACTATTAATTTTAGATAATGATGCGAATTTAGGCTCTGTACACATGCGTATTTAATACTATTTTATAGAGCTTTAGATTTGGGGGAACTTTGGAAATTATGTTGAAAAACATTTACCAAACATGTCATTAGAATTTTTTTTGTTTCACGTGTTTTAAAAAACATGCAGCATTAAAGCCATGACCCCAATTCTTCTACGTTATTTAATGGATAAGCTGAGTTCTTTTTTCTTTTTTTTATTACATGGCTGTGAGAGCGAAAATTACCTGATTTCAAATATCATAACATTTTCAGAAAGCTGGACACTGATGTAATAAAATTAAAAAAAAATAAAGCATCATTAACATGTTAATTAATAAGATATGAAAAAGGCACCAGAAGAACGATGAGATTTTTATTACATCCACATACACACATATATATATACCGATATATGTATATTCCATAACACTAACTTTGTCGTAAATTCGCCCTTTAAAGTTTTTGACTATTACACATGTTTATGATACAATTTTGGGTCCGTTTCATGGTGAGTGACTTATTTATCATTACAGTTAATTGGTACTCCAAGTAATTAAACTCCTACTACTACATTTTTTACCCAATGAATGGTCAGTATCTAATTTGTTAACAATGCACACTATTTGTTTTTTTATTATGAGAAGAGGCGTTTTACAAATCAACGTCAAAATTATAATTTGTTTTTAAACGAATGATATGTTTACGTGTTATACAGTGCAAGGCAAAATAAATAAAATTCAACCAAAAAATAGTGTTAAGGCAGTGATGAAACGTATCGATCTTAAGAAGGTATGACCAAATAACATTATTTTCTGAGGAGAAAAAAAATGCATTTTTTGCCTTTTTTTTCTTATATACACGTACAAGTGACTCGAAATCTAATTATCTGTTGATAAAATGTTAGTGCAAAATAAAGTTTTGAATATTACACAAAACCGTTTGTATCATTGTTATATGTAACAGCTCTTAACGTTATAATATTCTTAATGTTGGTGGTACTGAAAATGTAATTTGGAGCGAAATATTATTTCTACCTATTGCCAACGTGCAAAAGTCAAAGGTCAAATTCTTCCTACGCCGAGGTGTCTCGTAGAAACCGGTGCTGAACCTCGACTTACTTGACACCAATGGATGAGAATAGTAACACATTCCTCTTGGACAGGATGCCAGTCCAATCCAGGTTAATCCCAGTTAACAGCAAGTTCCGATCATACGGCTGGTTAAACTGAAACAATTGGGGTAAAGTGTCTTGCTGAAGGACACAACAAATGGGCGTAAGTGTTTGTTCCAAAATATGGAAAACCGTGAAATATTTCTATATAATTAGAATTTATATATATATATGTATATTTATTATAATACTACAGTAGCAATATGTAAAGGTTCTTGTGTTGTAAAAATCCTTTTATATTTGTCATAGAATAAGAAATTGAAGTAATGTGTCGTCAAAAGAAAGGGATAGCTTGGGATTTTGAAAAACCCTTTTCATTATGTATTACATAAAACTATATACACTAACTTACGAACTGATGAGGTTTCTAATTTATCGTTAGTTTTTCTTTTAACTAGCGTCAGGGGTTCGAAACGTAATGACTCTGAAAACACTCCACACTTTCAGTTATGGGCACTTTATAAAAGTGACAGTCAATCTCGTTATTCGGTTCAAAGAGATGGGCGATGGGTGCTGCTGGTTAACTGCTTTCCCTCTGATCAGTAGTTTAAAATTAAGAACGGCTAAGCCTGACTTTACCTCCGATCAGTAGTTCAAAATCAGGGATAGCTAAGCCTGAACTGGCCGTTTAGCCCATATACGCATAAGGTGTCGTTCAAACTAAATATTCCCATTCATTTATTTTAGCTAAAGTTACTTGAAACGTAGGGAGCCTTCTAAGTTTCGAGATAGAATCACCAGCCTGTAGACTTATAGTGAACACTAAATTATGTGAGATTTAAGAACCCAGCATTTTGCTGTGATTTTATACGTTCTGTATTGGATTTTTAGCCGCGGCATATCGGCTCATAGAATGGCTCTGAGTTTTATATATATACTTTTTTCAAGTACAAACTTTTAGCTCAAAGCTCCGTCATCTCTTGACCGATTTAAGATCTAATTACAGTTTTGGACTCAGAAAGTCAAACCCTTTCGATTAATGTATTTGACCACGTCCAAGGTATCACACATTAATTTACTCTAATCCTGTCTGAAAGAATTTCAAGTTGAAGGTAAACTGGTAGAGATCCTGGTGACTAATAAAATCGAATCGGGTATACGCGCGCCCCACGCTTCGTATTGTGCGCACAAAAATATAGCTAATAAAAAGGGGGGGAAGGGCCTCACACATTAATTTACTCTAATCCTGTCTAAAAGAATTTCAAGTTGAAGGTAAACTAGTAGAGATCCTGGTGGCTAATAAAATCGAATCGGTTATACGCGCGCCCCACGCTTCGTATTGTGCACACAAAAATATAACTAATAAAAAGGGGGAAAAAAGGCCTCATAGATTAATTTACTCTAATCCTGCCTAAAATAATTTCAAATGCCGCGGCTATTGAAGATTCCGTCTTGTTTAAGCTTTCATTTGAGTTGTCACGTTCAATTTTTCTCTTTGGCTGTTTCTGTTGTATTACTGCTTTAATAAAAACGTCCTAAAACACTCGAATTATAGTAACTAAAAAGGAACAACAATATACGAGAGAAAATAAATAATCATTAATGACCAAGTTAATGTTATGAAAAGCCACCATTCAACAGAGTCACTTAAGTGCCAACAGTCACAAGAGAATAACTTGCGATTGTATATAGGTCTTACCCAAGTTATCCTAAACACCGAGTTTTATTTGTATTTACATTACTTTCTTTTCACTTGGAGTTTGCTTAAGATTACTCCGTTTGGTCTTATTCATTTTAGAACAGTAGGTTAAGGCTCTAGAGAACGTAAACCAACAGAAGAAAATCTTTAGTAAATGTCAGAAATGAGACGAGCTCCTGTAGCTTTTTTCACGTCGCCACAAACGTGAATTAATGATTTCGGAAACTTATACGAACTTTATAATTATTATATAATTACAATGTACGTGCTTTTTTTTTCAACAATTAACCATACAGAAAGGTTGTCGTTGGACAGTCTCGTTGACAGCTGAGCAGTAGACAAAGATGGTTGTGCTGACAGTGTAGGTCATTAATAGGTGGATTATCATCAGTGGGAAAG